AAACCGGGGGTCGGGCTCATTCCGTCCTACACTCGCAATGTTTTTCCATGGCGCTTAGTTCCGTTTGACAGAACGCGCTATTCGGCATTCTAATTTCCTGCTGAAAGGGACTAAAACTCATACATAAAAGCGCCTATCTGTATACGAAAACCAATGAAACATATCGACGGTGAAAGTCGGCAATCACATAACTCGTTTGCGGTGTCTGAAAATCTCCGCCTCTGCGTCATTTTTTTAAAGGAGAACAAATTGATATTATTTCTTGAAGTTTTTGCAGAATTTTCTTCGCGCTGAGAAGAAAAATCATGAAAGTTTTAAAGAATTGCCGTTGAGTAGTTTTCCATTTAAAAAATAAAGTATGACAGGAAGTCTGCGACGTCGCAAACCGAGTTATGTGATTGCCGACTTTCACCGTCGATATGCTGTTTCTAAAATGAGTTCGAAATTGTATAGTTCCTGATTGCAAAGTCCATATGTATTACAACGTGAGCTACATTTTTCAATAAGGAACTACTCGCACCGAGAAAAAAAACTTCGTGCGTGGGACCCGAAGTTAAGGTTATATGGATCTCTGAAGTTTTCTGATCACGCATCCGATAACTTGAGGTCGAGCTGCCGAAGTGCGGGTCAAACATCTGAAGCACTTCGGTATGTACCGGAGTGCTTCAGATGTGTGACCTGAACCCTTCGGTGTATATCGAGGTACTTAGATGTCAGACCCGAACTTCGGCAGCTGGACCTCAAGTTTTTAGATACGTGATCCGAAAACTTCAGAGATCCGTATGACCTCAACTTCTGGGAAATGAATGGAACATTGATTGGTTCTATAATGAGCCAGAATATGTAGTTCCTGATTGACCTCCCAACAACTCTACTTCCATACGTAATTTTGGCCCTTTTTCGTTTGTTACAGAAGGAGTCCCTCAAACTCGAGGAAATCAACCAGAACGATTCGGGGATCTCGCCGAGCTACTGCAGCGGTGACAGTCGCGGCAGCGCCCAGTCGCCGGCCTCCTCGGCCGAAGATTGCGGGATCTCCACCCGGTCACCTCCACCGCTCCTGAGCATCAAGGACCAAAAACCTCTCTCCTTGGACCTCAGCGCCCCCAAATCGCCGCAACCCGCCGTTGCCCTGTCGCAGTCCCAGATCAACCTCATCCGCAGCCTCACCTTCGCAGCGCGATCAGCATCCGCAGCCGCCAACAGAGACCCATCACGAGACTCACCTCGTAGCACACACAACGAATCACCTCAAGAGAATTCGTCCAGAGCCACCCCGGATAGAACCTTACATGGCACTTCGTTCGAAGCGGCATCGAATGGGACTTCACATGGCACTTCGTTCGAAGCATCGCGTGGCACTACGTTCGAGGGAACCTCCTACAGCAGCTCCTTCGGTGGAGGCTCTGCGTTCGGAGCCCTGAGCGGTGGCACTCCGCAAGGCGCCCCCTTCGGCGCTTCGAATGGAGGCAGCGCTTCACCGGTGGCTTTCCAAGTTGAGAGAGCGCCGTTGGGTTCGCCGCGGTTGAACGCCCACGATTCGAGTCGGTCAATGTCGCCGGCCAGCTCTGTGGATTCGGAGTCGTACCAAGATCGGGAGCATCCCTTGCAGCAGTTGGCCCTGGTCGTCAAGCGAAATGATATGCTCATGCCCGCACCGCCGGAGACAGCCGAGACCAACTCTTCTGATAAGACGTTGATACACTGTCCACTTTGCAATTACACCACAAATTCAAGGTAAACGCAATGTTCAGTACTAGCATCCATCATTGTGATAGGGTTAAGTAATATATGGGTCTTACAGCGTGAAAAATATTTGAAATAGCCACACGAGGCCTCGGTTTATATTACATCATTTTGTAAAAAGAAGCTTAAACAACTGACTCTTGTGAGAACATTTTAATTTTGAGAGCGATAAAGAGTTTCATTGAGTTATCGCAATCCTTGGAAATGATACCATTTAAACGTTTTTACATCACTAAAAATATAGACTAGGTATGGTTTTTTTTATCCAATTTTCTGATACTATAATGAAACGTAATTTATTCGACCCAAATGTATTTTTCGCCATGATAAAGTCATGATGAAATCTTTTAAATCCTCCTGAAAGCGCATTATTTTTGATTTCATCACAACTTTGAAGCTTTTGCAAGCAATTTCAAGTAGCTGGAAGGATTTTTTTACTCGCTGAACTTATGCGGAAATCTGGCAATCATAGGTCAATCTCTGATACGACTATTGCAACGTGAAGGAACTGTTCTTGCCTATCCACCGGAATGAAGGCGAACCACAGTATACGGCCTGGAGCTCTCATTTCAATCGGTTAAGCGAAAACAGAACCCATCCGGCGATTGTAAAATTGTTCCGCATACTGCTTTGATGTATCTCGATTGCATTGTTTAAACATTTTCGCTTGTATTATTATTTTAAGAGAGTTTTATCAGGCATATTGTTGTACGAACTTTGTAGAGAATATTCTTGAAAGATCATTGAAAAATCACACGGAACTCACAATTAAATAAAAATAATTCTTCAAAAAGGTAACACGCGACTGGCAATTAACAACATTGCTAACCGAGATACGTGGTTTTGTAGTTCGATTTCTTTTCATTTAATTTTAATTTGCTGTTGTTTTAGTAGGTGGGTCTGCTTGTACCATTGTACTATTGCACCAAATGTGTTTCAGTCACTGTTCCCTTGGTTTTCATAGGAAAGTAATGACGCAGTAATTGTCATGTTTCACTTTTCATTGCAGATCTACATTCAACGCACATCTTCACGCACACGAAGGCCAAAAATGTTGCTACATCTGTGAACTAATGACTGAGTCAGTAGAAGAGTTGCGGCAACACTACCAAAACGTTCATGACGTCAACGTTTCAGCGGACTTCCTGAACCATAGCTCGGGTGGAGAAGAGGAGCAAGGAATTACAGTACCAAAGCTAAATTCTCAAGGTATAATTGAATATTAAAATTTAATTTAAGTCTACTGTACTTCTCTTTGGTTTTTCGGGTAGTGTAAAACGGATTTGAGGCGTTTAAAATAAGGAGTATCTTAAGGCGTGAGAGATGAAGTGAGATTTTTTCGAAAGGGAGAGTGTGTGGAAAAGAAAACACCTACTAACTTCGTCCTCAAACACCGAAACCCTTGAAAAAGAAGATATAATTTTTGGCCCAAATTTTATCCCCAAAACGCCTCCCTTGACACAATGGAATTTACTCTGTTCCCTAAAAAGTTCAACTTAGAAAAGTTCGCAGTGCTAAAAGCTATCTATCACGTTTTATGAATAGGCATATGACACAACTATTGACGTATTCAACGTGTTTATAAACTAAGCACTTTATTAGTATTTTTTACTAATTTATGAGACTCAACTACGAAAGCACGACTCTGCACGGAAGATGAAGGCTAATAGTGATAGAGCCTGATAGGTATCAGAATGTCTGGCTACGCATTCTCTCCGGAAACTCCAACAGCCAGTAATAGAAGTCTGGCACTGGCAACTAGATTTCTGGAGCATTTACCAGACGCACGGTCAGCACTACCGAAAATCTGGCATTCGATCTCCTGATGGGTACGTATGGTCAGACCATGTAGCTATTGCCAGGCTGTGCGACACACAAAACTGATAGTATTCTCTGTAATTTTACTTAAGTTACTTAGGTTACTTAAGTTACTTAGGTTACTTAAGTTACTTAGGTTACTTAAGTTACTTAAGTTTTACTTTGTATACTTAGGTTATTTAAGTTTTACGGACAAGTTACTGAAGTTTGACTTAGTCTACTTAAGTTACTTAAGTTTGCCTTAGTCTACTTAAGTTACTTAAGTTTTACGTGGTTTACTTGAGTTATACTCAGTTTACTTACGCATTCTTTACTTTTTGGGTGTTCTAGGTAAGGTGAAGAAGCATCGGTGCAAGCAATGTGGGATCGTCTGCGTGACGAAACTGGAATTCTGGGAGCACTGCCGCGGGCACATCAAGCAGGAGCGACTCCTGACCTGCCCCAAGTGCCCGTTCGTGACCGAGTACAAGCACCACCTCGAGTACCACCTGCGCAACCACTTCGGCTCGAAGCCCTTCAAGTGCACGCAGTGCTCCTACTCGTGCGTCAACAAGTCCATGCTCAACTCCCACCTCAAGTCCCACTCGAACGTCTACCAGTTCCGCTGCAACGACTGCAGCTACGCCACCAAGTACTGCCACAGCCTCAAACTCCACCTCCGCAAGTACAAGCACGCGCCGGCCATGGTCCTCAACCCGGACGGCTCCCCGAACCCCCTCCCCATCGTCGACGTCTACGGGACCCGTCGCGGACCCAAGCAGAGACCAAAGAAGCACGAGAGTCCAAAGAAGATCCAAACGACGCAGTACTCAAACCAAACGGCGTTCCCCAATCAAACGCCCCCCTCGAGTCAGATGACCTACTCCAGTCCGGCGTTCCCCACCCAACCCAAGTTCCTGTCGACCCAGACACACTTCCCACCGAGTCAGTTCCTTTCCGTTCCGCCGTCAGTTCCGACGATCCTCACGCCCAACTCCTACTCCCCCACCCGATCGACCCTGTCACCCGCCCCTCTCTCGCCGGTCCAACCGCGGCTCGCTAGTCAAACCCTGTCCCCTAGTCAGAGACAATCTCCTAATCCACCCCTCTCGTCCCCGCAGACGTCACCCACCCAATTCCCGAACCCTGCGTTCTCGAGTCAACCCTACTCCATGTTCCCTGCGAACTACGGGCTCTACCCGCCGTTCTACCCGCTCGTGCCGAACTTTCCACTCTCGTCGCTCCCGCTTCTTCAGCTGGACATTCCGGCGCTTCTGGAGGAGGCCAAGCGGTCTACGGAGACGCTGAATAAGCTCAAGGAGTTGCTCCAGTCGAACAACAACAACAGTCAGTACATCTCCAAAGCGGTCGCACAGCAGATCATCGACGAGGCGAGTTGTCCCTCGACACCAGCGAGTGACGTCAACTCGGCTCCGTTGGACTTGAGTAAATCATCGGGCAATGATGGTAATACGAGTGCGTCTGCAGGCTCAAACCGACGTAAAGGCAAGGCTGTAAAGAGGGTGCCGGTGCACTCCATGTATTACGATGATAGCGATGGTGAAAGGTCTCCAGTTAAGTTCAGCGCGCCCGGAATGCTGCCCGGCGCACAAAAGATTTACTGAGCCTCTGTATTCCTCAAGTCAGTGTAAGTGTTTTTCAATTTTTGATTGTGTAAGAAGAAAAGCAAACTATAGGAAATATTCGCATTCAAAATGATAGGAGATAGGAATTGGTTGAGTAGCTAAAATTTTAAAAGTCAATGCAGCTACGTGGACGCCATGCAGCAATAATGATCATTACACCATTATAACCTTTCGAAATTTGCTTCCATATTTTATTTTCTATAAGAAAAACTTATGACGTATTAACGGTCCAAGTTTTTTGAAATCTCTCTTTCCCTATGAACATTATTCTCAAAAATTGACCAATGATGTTGCGTGGTTTTGCTATGGAAAGTAAAATATCGAACAAAGCACCTAGTCTATTCTAATTAGCTTTAAAAAAAAATAAATAAAATAAAAAAAAAATTATAGTTTTTAGCGGGTACTTAAACTGAGAGCCGAGTGTTGATCACACGAAAGTAGAGAGCTCGTGACTTAATTTTCAAGTGATCAGCACTCCATTTAGTCCATTCGTGAAATTTCAGTCGAATTTTACGCATTGTCCGAATTCAATCTCTTTGGCTGTCCGTTTTCAGGTCTCTCAAGTTTAAAGTATATGAATGGACGTCCTAATACCAAATAATATTATTTTTGATGAATTTCATTAGTAACTTACATCCATCAGTGTAACTGCGTTCAAGTAACGTCTGAATCATAAGCAACTCAATATATTCTCTCACAGCCTATTTTCTATCTCCTTCATTTTTCAAGAATCATATACCTTGAAACTTGTTTCAGATTTTTGACGTAATCGCTCCGTCAGATTAAAAGATCAGTCTAGATCTATCTTGTTTGAGTTTGATTCGTTTATCCCACATTTGTAACCAGAATTGCATCATTCATTTCTCTTCCATTTATCTCACAAGTTTGCATACCTATCAGTAGAACCCAGAAATTCTCTCACCGATCAAAAATATTTCTGCTTGTCAGTTGTTTTGAACTTGTAGCTGGAGATAATTTAATTTCAAGAGCGTTTTCTGAAAATCTTAGCTCCTTTTAAATCCTGGTTAATTCCTTCGTGTATTAACTGAAAATTCTCCTTGATTATCATTCCAAATAACTATTTATCCTAAGTTTGCTTTTCTCTCCTTTTTGGGGGGCTCGAAACAATTACGGGTTTATCTATAAGACTGCCAAATTGCGCTGAAAAATTATTTAATTCAGTTTAGTATTGGCTCCATTATAACTCTTAATTTCAATTACTTAACTAAATCTTCTTAAAATGACGTCTAAAATTCGCACATTATTAACGAAAGCTTCATTGGGGGGAAGTTTCTAAAGAAGCATGGGAAGATAGGTTTGACACTCGCAAAAGTAATTTCAACTTTAACTGACAATTCATAAAAAAGAATAGGTACACATTCAAAACGATGAATTTATAAATTGGGATATTGTCGGCTTAATGCATTAGGAATTTAACGATCACGTGCGAATGGTTATTGGGTATAAGTGTGTCATCCATAATACAATTGTCAAGAGCTTATATTTTTAGGACTTATCGCCTTTTGAGCAGAGTTTTTCACGAAACGCTGCCAGTTTTCGTCATAAATTGTTCTCGAGACAATATTGTCAGGTTAAGCAAGTCAGATGCCCAAACCTGTTCCGAGGTCTGGTATGGTCAACTGATGATTCTATAATTCACCGGGCGTCAAAGCAAAGTTTTGTATAGAAACATGAGGGCTTGAGTTAATGTTAGCGTTGGCGTCATGGGATTTACTGTTAGTTTTTTGCGCCATTTTGGCGTGATGACTAGAGAAACTACCAAAACGACTCTTTAATAGATGTGTGTGCTTTCGAGGAGGGAAACCCCAAATTCACCAGTGGTTATTATACACTCACCTTTGCCAAGGTAACACTGTGGTAACTCAATTAAGCAACAGCTAATCGATACTCTAGGATATACGGGAAAGTAGTTCTCTATTAATTTTGCTGGTTACAAATCACACAAAACCCTTAAATCGTTACTTTCCTAAAACGGACTCTTGAGACATCAAAATTCTTATTCATCCCTTCTTGATTTTGTACGTGTGCTTTCAATTTTCATGGGCCCTTCAAGTCGAAAAAATCTCAACGTTGTCCCTTTTGTCCTCAATTGTGTCGCATCTATTGGAAAGGCATAAAATATCATGAAAGACTTGTGAATTTTTTTGATTGTGAGCTTTAGGCAGATTTTTTTTTGCCCGAAGTATGGTTTCCTGACAACTCTGACAATGAGTGAAAACGCAATTATTCTAGCGCTGAGTGCGAGAAGGGCATTTCTTAGTTTCTGCGATTTGGAATCTCCGCCGACATTTCTTGTGATTTAAAGAGAAAAAACGCCTGTCTTTTTTTGAAACTTATACTGAATATTCTTTATGATTTTACAATTGTTCGAACGAAAAATCCAGAAAAACAAAAATTGGTTTCCTCCGTAAAATTCAATTTAACAGCGAGGACTCTGCAGAAACGCAACCTAGAAATGTCATTTCAGCACCCAGCCCCTCTATTCTCTTTTCACCATAAAATAATGACTCGTTTTTTAGGAATCATTGAACGAATGAAAATGGTTGAAACTTTGTACGTCATTTTCTCAAAAAAATTTAGTTCGTAAAAATGGATCTCTTTGAGACCTGACCAGTAGTTTCTTCGCAACCCTATCTGTCGATTTTTCGGAAATAAGATGTCAACATTTTCATAGCATTGTTCATATTTTAAACCCAAGCGCACGTGTTTGTAAGGACTTCAATTAAGACATGCATTGATTAAAACATCTTCGTGAGATGGTCCTCTCTAGTTTGACGTCCTTCAATAATTGTCGTTAGAGAATATTTTCAGTGGCGTGGCGTGAATTGCGATGTATCGATTGTTGCCGTTTAAACCTATGGTAAAGAATCGATTATTTAGGTGTTCGCTGCGAACACCCTGTTTATCGATCCTTTTCCATAGGTTTAAATGGCATAACAATCGATATATCGCAATTCACGCTACGCCACTGAATACTTTGATGTCACACTCGCAACGCCAAAAGGCGAAAGTCCGTCGTCTGATTTTTAAGGTATCTCATGCGTTATACCCACGAAAGTGTTAATCGAGAAGATATACCCGTTGAAGATAAGATATGAATTCACTATTTCACTATTTTAATATTTTTAATTCCTCTCCAAAATACAACGCTGCGAGCACGTATCGTCCTTGGACTTTATTGGTTTGATCTCAAAGTGCGCAAGCAATCACGTCCTGTATAGCTAATCTTTGAAACCGATTTTTGAAAATCATTTTGATACATTGTCACCGGCTTGATACCTGGTTTGTTGAAAAATCGTTGAGACTGAGAGGATAAGTAATCTTTTTGACGATACTTCTGATAAAACCTAACAATTCTGAAACTTCAAATTATGTCTATACTTCAGTCAACTTGTGACTATCGCGTTCCTTACAGCTGATAAAAAAAAAATAAATATGACATTAAATGAAAAAGCTCAAGTAAAGTGAATGGGACAAATGAAGTCCAAAATTTTGTGAAGAGTATATCTTTAATTCTTGTAATCTCTGAATATTATGTAGGTTTGGATCAAAAATATTAACATGATGCTGAGGCGTAAAGTAAATCGATGCATGTCGCTGTCATTCATTATTAGCTCTCCTGAATTTTTTCTCTCATTTTTTTTTTTAAATTTGATTACACTGTAAACCTTTCACTGTCAGCATGAATTTTTTTCTCCTTTTCACTTATTTATGTTAGTGATTTTTTCTCCTCGTTTATTTTCAAGACTGAACAACTCATGGTCTGATTTTTATTATTTTTTACTTCTCGGTTTATTTTTAGTTCCAACTTAGTGTTAATAAGTTGTCCTTATCTTCATTTCCTTTCCAGAAATTGTTCTCTTTTCCTTTTCATCTTTAGTCTAAGCACCTTTTATTTTGTTGATCTTAATATTCCTCATTTGAGACTGGAACTTTTTGGAATGAGTTTGAGCTCCAAAATAAATCAAGCAGGGATTTTTATGGAATTTATTTTCATATTCAAGGGAGATTTTCTTTAAAAAAAGCCTGGTAAAAATATAGTAAAGTGAGACATAAGTGAAATCCTAAGTATTAGACTTATTTTCTTCTCATGTTTTAGTTGTCTAGGAGGAATTTAAAATTACTTCAAAATCGGCATTAAGATGTTAATATAGCAGCCGATTACAAAACTGATCTTACTCCAACACCTTGTTGCATCGCGCTTCGTATTTAAATTATTCCAAACTTATTCTAGTTTCAATATAATTTTCCAAATATCTGTAGTGATAGGTAAATAATTTTATATATGTAGTATTAGCTACTCAGATAGAGTTGTAAAACTTAATTATTTATTAAAAATACATTTTTATGAAACGAAAAAAAATCCAAGATTTGATGTGTTGAAACTAATAAAAACTTACTGACTCTTTTCTAAAGGCCCACTTCTTACGAAAGGGTCCAATGACATAATTACCTACATTCTGTAGACACATGGAATATTTTCCAACCATAGCTTTAATTTGCAATTATTTTAAAATCAAACGTTTCAGAGGCACGCATTCAAAATTTTCTCTCTATCTCTATCGATTACAGTCATATATCATGCACCCCACAAAAAGAAATGGGTGAGAAATTGTAAAATCACTAATGGAAAATCACGTGTCATTAAATTCTCTTCCTTCATTATTACAGTAATTTGCTATGTAAGATTGATATCAGGGTTTCTTAAAATTTTCTGAAGTGATGTAACACGTAAAATTAAGTAATGTTTGCGCGCTTTAAGGCGTAAATATTGAGGTAGTTCTTTTGTTCTTCCAAATCTTCAAATACTTGGGAAAGAATTCCCACCTCATCCACTCGACCAATTATTTCTGTGTTTTATGTTGTTTTAAATGTGGATCCTTCTTGAAGGCAGGACATTTAGATTTTTAGTTCTCCTCTGCTTATTTTTGTAAGTATATCTTTGAGAGAATTTATACAGAGTTTAATTAAGTTTATCGTTGTTATTGATGTACCTAGTATTACTCTAAAGAAAAAAACTTTTGATTCAACTAGTCCTAATTAAGTCTTTTGTTATTCATTTTCATTTTTTACTTTAAATTTTAAGATTTTGTTTCTCTCCTTCATTTTTATTTTGAACATTTCCTTTTAAGTACTTGTATACTTAAATTTTTGCATAGTTTTGAATGTACCCAACGAAATTGTGCTTCTAAGAAAATGAGATTGAAACGGTTTTTTGCGTTTGTAAAATATAAAAGCACACATTCCCACTATCTCCATAAATATGCATCATGCATGAAGATAATGTTAATTTATTGTGAAATTTAGTGATGATGCAAGACGTTAACTTCACCCAACTTTCCAACATATTTTGATTAATTAGGTTTTTTTTTCTAATCTACGTCGTACCCGTTCCCTCCTAATTGAAGGGTACCATACAAAATTTCCTTTTTTTTGCTCCAGTACTTTTTTTTCATTTTTGCTTCGGTTTAATTCCTGTTTTATCGTACCTATAAAAATGTATAGGTAATTCTGAAGCTATATAGCATCCTTGGAAATAGTCATTTCATGTATGAATTGATCAAAATTTAAAATGAAGTAAATCATGTAATTAATGTTCGTTCTTGCATATTTCCCGTGCAAAGTTGTAAAATAGTGTTGTTTTTCTTGTGTATTATTTGTATATATTTGTAAATAAAATGAAATATAATTGATTTCTACCTAAAACTTATATTTTATCGTTCATCGTACTCAACCATAGGACTATTCTCTTTAATTTCTTGGGTACCTATATTAATCAGCAAGACCTGGATTACAATATTTGAAATTATATCAACACAATGTAGAAATTGCACGCAAATTTTTTATTGCTTCATCTAAAAGTGCCTTTAGAGCTGATTTTGCAGTTTTTTTATGATTTTTTTCGGCTAAGGGAAATAGTATACAAAGAAATTTAAAAGTGAGCAAATGCGCCGCCTAGTGACGTCATCTGGCGACATTTCCCATTTAAATGCATGTATTCTAGCAAATTAGATCATTTTTTCATATTTCCTCCAATAATTGTCAATTTATGAACCAAGGGTATCGTCGTGTTCAGCTGACTTGGTAGCGTCCATTCAAACACGGAATTCGTCAAATTTCAGAAACCTGCAAATTCTCCATTTCAGCAAAGATATGCCCCTGATTCGTAATTCTTACCTCTAAATATCTCTTAATTCAATACCATTATAATAATAGTTTAGCTTTGAATCATGATAATTTTACTGAATTCAAGTTGGTTTTGCACGAGGGAAAGGAGGAGAGGGAGCTCATGCTATAAATCTGATACCTATCAAACAGCTCTGACTCACCAAAAAACACAATAGTTCTGCAAAATCGTACAGTTGGTTTCCTTAGAAATAAATTAAATATGTAAGGAAACGGGAAACGAAAAATTAAATAATCTCTCTTCGTTTTTTATGGGTTTTGGTCCAATTTGAAGCTTAAAAATGCCTAAGAATTTCTCATTAAATGCAAATCCGATCTCTAAATCAGTGCGAGTAAAGTACCTGCCGACGTTACACGATTGGTAACACATTATTTTTTCGATGGTATGCAAGGACCACTTTCAAACGCAAGAGAAGTTAGTATTATTTCTGTCGTAATGCCTCGATTAGACAAAATTGTTCACAACTGTCTTTTACTGTAAAGAATTATTTGTTATTGTTAATTTTTTTTCTACCTCAGCCTAAAATGCTGGATCTGCATTTCTCTTCTCTCACTTCTACATCTTTGCTGGCAGTACC